GTACGTACCTAGTACACCCTTTCACGATGGGTATATTTGGCTTCGTATATTTGTACCCCACCGTCACTTTACGTGCTATTTTCAAACTCAATAATAATAATAATAATAATAATAATGTTTGATGAATAATATTATTGAGTGGTAAAATTTTAACCTGTCGTTGTGAACGTTGGGGATTGGGAAGAAAATTGGCATAGGGCTGACTCAACTTCGCATATAAGACTCTGGGCAAATTTTTAAGACACATATGTCGTTAAATTCGGTAGTTCCTTGTTGGACGTCAAGGGAGTTCTAAACTTTGAAAACAGACATAACTCTAAAAGTAAGGAACTGTAAGATCAGTTTCAATTTTCTTTCTCTCTTTTTTTTTCTCTCTCTCTCTCTTTCTTTTCTCGCTCTCTCTCTTTCTTTTCTTTCTCTCTCTATCTTTTTTCTCTCTCTCTCTCTCTTTCTTTTTTCTCTCTCTCTTTCTTTCTTTCTCTCTTTTTCTTTTCTCGCTCTCTCTCTTTCTTTTCTCTCTTTTCTTTCTTTCTTTCTTTCTTTCTTTCTTTCTTTCTTTCTTTCTTTCTTCACCCTATACACTTGCTCCTCCCATTTCTCCTTAATTTCCTCTTTATTCATTTCTCTCTCTCTCTCTCTCTCACACACACACACACACACACACACACACACTCTCTCTCCCTTTACGGTGTTTATCGAATTTCATCATCCCCTCTCTTTTAGACTCGCTCTTCTTACTTGTCCGCTTCACTGACCTGGGGTCATTTACATCAGGCCCACTTGAAATAGCCGGTGACAATTTAATTTACATTTTCGGGCCATTAAGTTGAGCTTCTTTTATGTGCCATGTCCTTTCAGGACATCGGCTATCATGGTTGGAACTAACGTACTCAAAATATCAGGGACAAAAACGTCTTTGATAAGATAATAGAAGCAAGGATTACAATCAGTTGATCTATTCTTGCGGTTGCCAGATGTACAATTTGAAGAACCTTTATTTGAGTAACGCTTCCCAGATTCCCAGAAAAACTCGTAAAGGGAACACCAGATAAGGGGATGATAATTTACTTTTGGGACTTGAGTACTGATTAATACCTGAAATCGTTGACATTATTGGAACTGCTTTAAAAATTGCTGTGTTAATTCACTTTGTAAGACTAGAGAAAGTAAATTGGTTTTACTTTCTTCGATTTTTTTTTTGTTTTACTTTACTTTCTTTTCTTTCTTTCTTTGTTCTTTTATCTCTCTTTCTTTGTTTTTCGCACCGATTCCATTCTTGGTTTGCTTCTCAAACTTGAAGCCATTTATGATAGACTCACGTAAAATTCTACTTGTTTCTTGTTTTACCATTTTTTGTTGAGGACGCACCAATTTGCACAAAATCAAACTGTGTTCAACGGAGTGACTACTTGTTTGACTTTATATTTGAAAGTAAGTGTTTTAACAGAAGACGGAAAATGCGACACTAAAATCTGAAGACGCATTAAGATCGGGAAAGGTGCCTTCCAAAAAAAATGTATTGCATTTATTTACATGAAAGAAAATGGCACTCCCGGAATATTATTAATATTTTGAATCTTGATTGATTTATTCGTTTTCTACGTCTTTGTAAGTGATTCTTACACTAAACCGGATGCTGACTGCTCGACGACCCAAGGCAGAATGCGAAAACACGTCTCTGCGCATCATGTTTTCGCATTTTCAGTATTAAATGATAAAATGAACTTTATATATTGACCAGTAGAAATAACTCCTGCTAAAAGACACAGATTGTGATTTGGAGCCGATACGACGGATATAAATTCCTTGATTCAAAGCCGCAGAAGAGAGAGAGAGAGAAACTCGCCTGAGATGTCGACACGCAGAGGTTGGTCAAGAACGCCACAGACAGACTGAGACTGAACGCGATACTTTTCAAATCTCATCCTTTCGCCGCGGCCGTCTTCACAAAACATCAGCCGACAGCCATGGCCAACATTCTTTCTCTTTCTTTATTCCTTCCTTCCCCATTCTGTCGCCTTTTACAACAGCAACGAGCAGTATGCTGGCTTTGTATATATGTAAATAAATTATACATTTATTTACCCAAAATACGATGTATTCCTTTTCCTCGAATTTACGTTTGCTGAGGCGAAGAAGAAATTAACCTCGTCTGCAGAAACAACGAGCGACAAGTTCTGCCTTCCAGGTTACTCATTCTTCGTTTCCGTAACAACCCTTTGTAGTGTTAAAGTACATCTGACGTCCTTCTTGCTCGGGTCCTGTTGTATTCAAAGTAACCCCGCAGCCAAGCCAATGCGTTCACCAACCGAGGCTGCTTGTGTATTCCTCCAGATCATGAAAAAGAGAGACAGCTCACAGTCATTTATGTGGATCAACCAACAGTAGGTTATTTAAAGCCAGAATTTTTTTTTTTAGTTTTAAGAATTCTTTTTAGATAATAATAATTTTAGTGATTGCTCATTAACCCATAGCTGGAGGAGAAACAGATGCAGCTAAAACATAACATGATCACCGACGTCTTGCATGGACATGCCGTTTAGAGAAAGAGAAATGGAAGTTTTGGGATAGATATATCTCAGAAGTCTTGAAAAGGTTATTTATCAGTTATTTTTTTGTTGTTTTTCGAACAGATATTTGTTAGAAGAAATCATTATTAGCACAAGGTTCCCTTTTTCATAGATCTGTATGAAATTTCAATACAGTATTGATATCGACGAACGTTAGTTTACTATAGTAATACATTAGGTGAAATAGAAATAAGAAATCTATTTTACACTAAACCTTCGAGTATGTTAAGGGGTTTCTTACATTGAGAATAAGTATTCGTTATTATTAAATTTGAACACAAAGTCACTTTTCGAAAAAAATGTTTCTTTTATATCACTTGATCTTTCGTTATATACTTAGTTTAATTTAACTGAATACAAGGCCAAAATGGCGTGAAAATGAAGCGAGTAAGATTGTGTTACGCCAATCTTCTAAGTAGGCTTAGCCTGTGTATCTGTCTATCAAAAAATTAAGCATTAAACATTTTGACTTTTACCAGAGCTCGAACTCAGATCGTTGGCAACGTTTGGAGTTAGAGATAGTTATTTAGTTAGTTGACAGTTATTAAGTTTAGTTTAGCATCAATTGGTCCAATCGAGTCCCCAATACTGAATTCACCCACGCCCAAATATCCAGCCTCTTCTCTCGCCTATGAGTGTGTTATATGTCAGACAGGAGGATTCCTATAGTCTTCCTATACAGAGAACTGAACACCGACAAGAGAGCACTAGGACAACCCCATCTTCGATTCATGGATGTCTGGACGTAGATGTCAAGAGACGAAGGGACATCGTGAAAGATCGCTCTCGCTGGATGCAGGAACTACGTAGAGAGCTGTGGCAGGGAAAGGGACTGAGGATTGCTGCTGAGGAAAAGCGGACTCGATGGAAAGAAGGCAACTGAGTAACACTGGAGGAGAGTGTCTTCAAGTGCAGTCGATTCTGTCGAGACTGTCTCTCCGGTGTGGGTCCGTACAGCCATAGCATGCTGATTAACAACCACCAGTCAAAACTTAGGCGTAGAGCAATGGTCTCTCGAGAGTAACGAACACCACTTTTTAGCCTTTTCTGTTTTTTTATGGCGACCCTTCTGGATAGGGGCGTTCATGTCTCTCTACAGCTTTCTATACGTTGTAACGTTAAGCAATGCTTGTCTTCCTACAATCGTTTTATGTTCTCTCTTCCATTTACATAAGCTCTTTTCATAGGTTACTCAATGTTTCCGTCAGGTCGTCTGCAAACCCGTTTTGCGTCCCAATTTCCTTTTTGTTTCCATTTCTCAGACTTCTTTGTTGCTAGCATATTCCGTCCATAGCATTCTCTGCATCCTTCTGTATAACCACATCTCTGTTGCCTCAAGTCTCTTCTTCATCTGTGAGAAAATTGACCAGTATCCAATGTATACGTGCTTTGATATGCATTGCAGTTCAGCGTTCTTTTTTTGTTTGTTTTGTTTCTAGCGAAATTTTCTTGTTTCTTAATACTTTGCTTAGCTTTTGGAAGGCATATTTTGCTATTCCAATGCACCCTCGGATTTCGGTGTCACACGAAGCAATAATAATAAGAAAAAACAGAAGGAATTAGTGATATGAAGATTGTCTGAAGACAATGCTTCATTTAGAAATGGCTTGTCAGTATACAAATACTGGTATTTATTTATTTTTTAAGCATTTCACCCCAAACAAGGCGGGAAGCCACTAAGACGCAAGGGGTTACAGAAGATTTGGAGCAAGATCAAATAGGAATGATACAGGAAAGGCTGGGGAGAGGGATAGTGGATAGATCAAGGAAACTGGAGATGTCGATTGACATTACATTTGAATAGTTGGAGATTATAGCTCTCAGGGAAACAGGAATAGGGAAGGGAGTTCCACAGGCGAGAGGTGCGAAATATGAAGCTATTGGAGTAGAAGAGACGGCTACATTAAATAGTTTCAACAGTGAAAGAGTGAGATCGGGATGCCAGCCTCGTAGGGCACTTGAACTCATGAAGTCTGGGAACCAGCAAATGCAGCTCCTCGGAGCAATTGCCATGAAAGTATTTGTAAAAAAAGACAGAGAGAGGCGACGGCGCGTCTCTGAGAGAGTAACTGTAGACGAGATGCCAGAGCAGGGCCAATTATATTGCATATCCGCTTATGGATCTTATCAAGAAACCCGACTCAAAAAGTAGGGGCCCCAGACCATATATGGCAGCAATACTCCATGCAAGGGCGAATTGTTGATTTGTAGATCTGAAGGATTGAGCTCGAACGCTGATCTCTGGTAACAATGGGGTATATGTAACTCTTGGCACCACGAAGCTAGCAACGGTTCGTCTTGATCTCTCAGCTCAAAAGTTATCGAGACCGTAGGCAAAAGTGTTTTAAAAGAACCAACCGTTTGTTATTTCGTGTGCTTTTAAATGCTTCAACTTAGAAGTGACAGACTTCCAATAATCGTGTTGAAACTCTATCCGATTCCTGTACCAACTGGAAACATGTGTTTATCATGAATAAAGGAATACAAACCAACAATAATAGAATCGGGAACGGACAGAGAAAACTGGGTGGCTAGATGAATGGAAGGAAAGGGAGGGTGGATTTCCTTTCGTCCGTTACCTACGGGTGAATGAAAATAAATGAGTAGCTTAAAAATGATATAAGGAGAAAAATAATAATGGATGAGAGTGATAAAAAGTGGGAATAAAAAATGAAGAGGGTGGGAGAGAGAGAGAAAGAGAAGGGAGAACTGATAAAAAAAAGGCCAACCTTGAATGATTGAGAAAGAGGGAAATAGCTTAATCAATGAACAATAAGGAGGGCGTAGTTGAAGGAAAGAAGGAAAAAAATAGAGTGTCAGTTAAGAATGAAATATAGGTAAAATGAAAGAGTTAGTGAGAAAAGAAAGCAGTGCAAGAAAACAAGAAAAGGAGGAAAACGATAAAAAGGAAAGAAAAGGTAAGAAAGAAAGAATGAAAGAAAGAATGCTAGAAAACAATAAATAAATAAATAAAGAAAGAAAGAAAGAAAGGAAAACATAGAAAGAAAGAGTAAAGGAAAGAAGGAACGGACGACAAATAAGGTTGTAAAAATGAATAAACTGAGAATGAAAAACGGAGAGAGAAAGGAGGTGCGTCGAAGTTTAAGAAAAAGGAAGAAAACATTTCTATGCAAAATAGTAATAGCTACATAAGATTAAATAAATAAATAAATATATATATATAAAGAAAGAAAGAAGGAAAGAAAGATAGAAAAAGAAAGAAAGAGGGAAAGAAAGTAAATTATTAATGAAAGACAGAAAGGAAAATGAGAGAATATGAAAAAAGAAGAGTAAAATGGTAGAAATAAAAGACAAAATAAAAGAAAGAGGGAACGACAGAAGAAAGGAACTGTTGAATGAAGGAAAGAAGAAAAAAATAATAACAGGAAGAAAGTTAAATCTAAATGAAAAAAATTAAATACAGAAAAGTAAGAAAAAGCCAAAGAAAGAAAGAAAGAAAGATAGAAAGAAAGAAAAACGATTGAAAGAGATGAAGAAAAAAGATGGTAGAGAGAAGAACGTTAAATAGAAACGAAAAAATTGAAGTAAAAAGTAAGTATGTTAAGAAAGACAGAAATGAAAGAGAAAAAAGAATGACTGATTAAAAGAGTGGGAAAGAGATGACAGGGAGAAAAAAAGAAATAAAAATAGCAAAATATAATTAAAAAAGAAGAAATAATTTCTGAATAAAAAACCATTGCATGTGTCTAACAAAATCCAGACAGCAAGTACGGAAAAGAAGAAGAATGAAAAACAAACAAACAAATAAAAGGGCAAATTAATAAAGAAAAAGAAAAAGAAAAGAACCTCAAGGAGATTAGATTTCCCGCGTATTTACGCAACCCTTTTTTTCACTTCATTGCTTTCTCTCTATCTCTCCCTATTCCCAATTCTTTTGCATATCTCTTATTCCTGAAGACCTACGTATTCCAATAGACTTGCTATTAATACGAGTGTAAACTATCGCTAAGTTACAAACAATGGCCGCGCCAGGTCGCCTCTCTGAAGGGGTTTGTAAAAACAAACATTTCCTCGACATATGTTTTCACACGAAGCTTGTCAAGGATTGCAATCGAGTCATACTTTTAACAATCAATCACTTCACAAAATATCAAAAAGTTGCGATACAACGAGTTGGGAAACCAAAACCGAATATCCATTCACTCCCACTTAAATAAAAAGCACAAAAACAAACAAAATGTCCCTGGTGTCTTGATAGATTTACTCACCAAAAAATAAGGTGTTTGCCCATATCTTCTGTAAATATTGCAAGATATAAAATATATCTGAGTTGATCGCTTTCATTCTTTATTTGTTCGGTTTTATGCTATTTATCTTTGCTTTGCATATATAATATAAATATATTTATCATGCCGAGCGTAGATTTGCAGACAGTTAAATAAATGTGTTGCGCCAATTTTCAGAAAGGGGAGGTCCTGAATTGAATATTTGAATACAGAGACCGAGCTCAAACATTTCCTAATGAGGTTGGTGGGAGATAGAAAAATACCCGTCATCTCGAGTTATGACAAAATATAGGAGATATGTGGAGTAAGAAGACTGTGTTGAGCCAATTATCCATTTGGGAAAAGATTATCTTTCTTGAAAATTAACATTTTAATTCGTGGTATTTACTCGGACCACGAACAAATCTATCTATCTATCTATCTATCTATCTATCTATCTATATATATATATATATATATATATATATATATATATATATATAATTATTTATTTAAAAACATGATTCCAACACACTACATAAGAGTTCTCATGTTTCAAAACAAGAGCCGAAAACTCCAATATAATTATTTGAATTAAATTGAATTAAAGTACTAAGCTTCGTTTTTATATATATATATATATATATATATATATATATATATATATATATATATATATATATATATATATATGTATAATTCAGTGTTCATTTATCTCACAATTTTTCTTTTTTTTTTTAAGCATGGCACAAAACTATGTTATAGATAAACAGTGTAGACATATAAATTAATAAAACATGGCGTTTGTAAGTTTCATGCCTTAAGTTATGATATAGCGTCCCCAAAATTGAATTCTTAAGTCAAACACTGTTTTATTACCTGCGCTCACAACGCGCTATTTTATCGATATTAAAGAAATAAACGTCCTAGGTAAAGAAAATAATCTTTTTTTTTTATTTATTAAAACACTATAACAATACATTTTCAAGTTATTTAGGACTGTAGCACAAGTTGTCAAACTGTGATAGATAGATAGATAGATAGATAGATAGATAGATAGATAGATAGATAGATGGAAATAGATAGATAGATAGATAGATAGATGGAAAGGCAGAGATAGATAGATAGATAGATAGATAGATAGATAGATAGATAGATAGATATGAGCAGAGTGAGATTTATAGACACACAGATATGAATAATTTGAGTTATGTCAATATAAGCAGAGATTGATAGCTATAAACAGACGAAGAAACAGAAATTGATAGATATTGGAAACATGGTATGGAATAATGCATAAATGAACAAGTCGCTTTTAAAGGATATATTTGAATTCGAGAAAGGAAAAAATTCACTTGATCGACGAGGCTGCTCCGTGGACGAGTTGGTTACGGCACATTTCCTTCTGACCTAAGGGACACAGGTTCAAGCCCTACCGAAGAGCGCATCTTTTAATTTAATATGATGTCTTGAGTATTCAAACTAATAAGCAATAATACATAAATATACTGTTAATAATAAATAAATGGAACGTCTACCCAAATATAAGTATCCACAAATAATAACATTTAAACTGATAAAAATCGGTCGGATTAATAAATAAAAAATCTCTTACATTGGATACTTATTTTGTTTATGTTTGGATACGAAACTGAACTTTTATATATATACACACACACATACACACACACACACACACACACACACATATATATATATATATATGTGTGTGTGTGTGTGTGTGCGCGTGTGTGTAAATATTAAGATGGACACATCTCGGTCGACACTTATTAACAATTGTGCAAATATTGATGCATTTGCTCAATCATAGAACTACGAATTTATTTGAAAGACAAATCGCGATGACTTTGCAAAGGTTTCCCTTAAGAGGTTAGAAATATAATTTTCATCATGGCTGATCCCCTCTCTCTCTCTTTCTCTCTCTTCTTCCTTCCTTAGCGTTTACTGAATATTAACCTAAAGAGCGGAAAAAAAAACAATTTCAAAACTTTTCTTTCCAGACACGGATATTGCTTGTAAACACTACAGATGAAGTTCAGAGTCATTCATGTAACATCAAAATATTCAAATCTATTTGTTTATTTGTTTTTAGTGACTTGTTTGCCGGATTTAAATGAATAAATGAACACTGTACATCTTATTTCTGGAACATATATATATATATATATATATCCGATGCAATGAGACCGAAAATAATATATAAATTCTAACGTTCACAGCATTAATTCAAAAGAGGGCTCAATACCGATAATAGAGCAATAATTATTCATTATAATTTTATCAAGCAGAGTTGTTCATAACCATTTTTGGTTTTCACCAGTCGAGGTGCAACTGAAATGCACCGAAACGAAGTTGCATCTTTGTAGTGAGGAAACTGTTTTTGTCTATATGATAGA